GTGTTTAAAAAAAAAAAAAAAAAAAAAAAAAATTGTATGGTTCTCTCTTAGATCAAACAGTTTCTTTCCTGCCATTTTTGTTGCCAAGTCATAATAAAATAAGGACTGTGACCTGAGCAGGACCTCCTAGAGCTAATAAAAAGGAAAAACAATCTGAATAGAGTTCATGCTACAAAGTTAATGTAAAAAAACAGTATTTAAAAAAAAATTTAGAGGATGAAGACAAAAATATATAAACAGAAAAGCTCTTGTAAGCACTATAGCCCTACAAAACACACGCTGTTCTCCCAGTTTCAGGTATGATCTGGCAAGGTGCTAACGGCTCCATGAACTTTTGGAGTCAGTAAGGCACCACTCCTAAACAATGTAAAATAACTCTTAGGAGGCGTTTTCTTTACATCTGACACTAAATCTTTGCTAGCTGATCTTAAGTTTAATCCTATAATACCTTCTAACATGCTGGGTCTTCCTGGCTTATGTTGTGGCTTGGGGTTTGGGATTTTTTTCTGAAAAGTAATAAGGAACTATGTGGGTTTTATGTGTTTAAGTAGTTTATGCAAGGTTTTTGTAGTGTACTATGAGAAAGCCAAACCTTTCCTAATAGTAGGGGAAGCGGCTATCAAACACCGAGCTCCGGCTCCAAATTGTTAAAATAATAACTGTTACAAACCTGACCTCTCACAACCAGAGGTCCTTTGGAAACCGTGGAGTTTACACAGGACTAATGGGAGTCACACATGGGACACCACTCCTCATCCTGCTGGTCTGAAAACTGGATTTCTGTTAGGATGTCTCATCGCAGTGCTCAACAGCACGAAGTCCCGAATCCTTTGCAAGACCTGGGAGCAAATTTGTAGCACAACGAAAGAAGCCTGGGCAGTGGAAAGACTCTCCCTAGAGCTGAGGAAACCCGGTTTTCCCTGCCTACCTTACCCACTCCTTCAAACGTGGAAGCAAAAAGCTTCAAGTGAGCTTCCTCAAGGTGTCTCCCCTCAGCGAGATGCTGAACAAACACGGCTGCAAACTGAAAAGCCGTAATCCTGCCGCTAAGAGGAGCTAAAATCCAGTTGTCATCGACGGCATGGGCCGGCTCCAGCACAGTCCGCTCACGGGATCCCTCCTCCTCCTCTTCCTCCTACCGGAGGTCAGATTTCACCTCTGATGTGCCCACAGAGAACCCAACAAGCAGGATGCTCCTCTGAGCAACGAGCGGGACTAGGAGGAGGAGGAGGAGGAGCTGGACTGCCATAGCATGCAACAGCTTTCAAGGACTAAACGAAATGTACTCTTTCTGACCCTATGGAGAGGAAAAATAGTGCAACCTATGGGAAACGTGCGCATCTCTGTACCAATCTGTGGAGAGCTTGCAGAGAACTGACTGTCTGCCTCAACCTATGGTTATTCACACTTTTAGCTCCAAAAGTTTCTCTTTTCTTATTTAAAATACTAACTGTTTTCCTCCCAGTATCATCCGGGTTGCTGATGCGAGCCAAGGCGATGCTTTTCCCTGAAGCTTATGACCTTTTGTTGGCTCGGAGTAGAGGCTGCTGAAGGCATGTCTGGGCTGATGGGAGGAGAGCATCTATATGGCCAACCCGTTGGTCTACAATTGAGCAACCCTCTCTCCAAGAGGGAGGAAAGAGAAAATATACAATAGGATATATAAAAAAATATATGTAGCACGCATAAAACATACTGGTAAGTCTGCCTAAGAGAGGGCAGAAGAAAGGGGCTTTGGTGTGCACCAATTTCCCTAAAGAAAGGTCATCTCAATACTTAAAAAGGACTGAAAACTCCTCAGAAAGACTTCCTCAAAAATGGTGGGAAAAAAGAAAAATTATGTCAAGCAGGTATTCACTAGAGAAGCTTGCAGAGAAACCCAAATTTGCACGATTTACTAAAAATGCAGTAGAAAAGCTCTGAAGGTTTCCTTCCTCCACATTTAACAACATAGTTAAATTATAATCAAAGCATAAAATTGAAAATTTTGAAAATGTTCAAAATATGGGAACCTTTTGTCTCTACCCTTTTCGTTCCAATGGCATGACCCTCTCCAAAGCCTCAAAATGCCAAATGGAAACTCCAAAGCCTAGAGGTAAAATGGCCCCATCATGCCTTATCAAGACATCTGAGGCTCCAGGCTGACCTCCATCAGTAACAACTAGGGATAACTGACTTAGTTAACTCCATACATACATGATGATACATAATTAACTCCAGAAAGTTTTCTATACCTATCCATAACTTTTAAACCCTCTACAACATTGATTCTTCATGCATCTATTCTTCTCACAACAGGCAGAGATCTCCTGCTACATGTCACTAAGTTGATGTAGTATCATCGGAGTAGAGAAGCAGTGGGAGAGCAACTCTATAGGTAAAATACTTCAAACATTAAAAAACATTAAAAAACAAAACAAAACAAACCATGTCTTTTCCAGTCTTATGTACCCACCAACTTTAAATACTTATATGTACTTTGGAAATCCATGTTTGCTGTAACTCTGTTGCACATTATCAAGTACCGGCAGGTGAGATCCACTTTTCCATCCAGCCAATTTATGACCTGTCCTCATTAGCCACTGTAAATATTATATAATCAAGAGAACCATATTATTTACTTACAAGGATAAGCACAGTTTCCAACAGCTTGCTTGTTTTTCTAAGGGATAATTTTGGAATTGAATTAAAGAACTGCATACGTAATTTATTAATCTTTATATTTAGGGAAACAAAGAGAGCTCCCAGAAGACCTCCAAGCATTCCAAGGAGGATGGTTGGAACGAAGGCCAAGACGTTCATGTCCAGCAAGTTCTTAACCTGAGTCAAAGAAAGGAGAAAAAAAATGTTCTGAACATCCTGCCAGTGACATGAAATATTGCACCCTCTCTTACAAAACCTGATACCACAAAGTAATTTCCATACAGGAAATAAATCTTTCCTTGCGGTTTAGGGAGCTCAGCTAATTAATTTAAAGCTGATCTCATGAGAGATGGTGTACTCTTCTCACACACCTCACAGGAGTGGAGCCAGCAGGTAGACACTGGTGTTGGCACACATAGCAGAAACCTCTATGATGCACTGCAGTTACCACAAGCACTCAGCACTTCAGGTTACATCCAAATAACATGACATATTGGCCTTAATGAACACTTCAAAAGAGACTGCTGAACCAGAGCTTTGCTCACTGTGTCTGTATCTACATCATAATTTGGGAAAGTTCCTTTATTAAGTGTCAACCTGCATCCATACGCATTGAGATCATTTATAAGTAAATTTATTTAAGTAAAACTGTGAAAATTGATGCTGATCTGGAACAAATTGCAGAACAACAAATCATAAACGCAGAATACAGTCTGGCAGCTGGAATACTAATTGAATTTTCTGCTTGATTCCTCAACAGGCAGCAAGGATGAGAGCCATATCATGTTTTAATTTATCTTCCAGCCAACAAAAAGGGATCAACAGATCGGTGGCAATCTATTAAAAGCTGTGAGGATATTATTTCCTTAGCCCAGGCATAGAGTTACACAGCTTTTTGTCAAGATTAGGATCTGGACAGAGTAAGAGGTCATGAAATGCTCAAAAAGCTACCTGGCAAGAAGGACTAAAGGCATATGACAAGGGTTGCCTGCAAAAAAACCTAAACTGGTATAATCTTGGGGGTAACGGATCGGAGAAACTGCCAGCCTTCCTTAAATTGCTTGAGCAAGTGCGCAGCCCCTCTTACTGTTCAAACTCTTTTTTCTTCCTCCTCCTCCTCTTCTTCTTGACCCTTAATCTTATTCTTGCTACAACTAGCCTAGACTTCAACAAATCCACCGGGTGGCTGTACTAAACACTGGTGGTATTTCCTGAGAGGAGGAATGCCAGGGTCAAAATCCAGCCAAGCTTGAACAGTTGGTCCACAGGGTGCTGCAGACTGAGAAACCGGGTCTGGAAGAGGGAGAATCCCAGCAGCCGTGCCCAGGCACAAGAAGCCCAACACCTGCGGGGTACACTTGCAGGGAGCAGGGAGAGACTTAAGGTGTAGCGTGCCTTATAATCAGGCCTACAACCATCACATACGTAGGTACTCTATGTACTAAGCAAAACTTTAATAATGCTATTTGTACCAATAGCTGCAAGAAAATCCATCCTTTTCCAAAGGATTTAAAGAGCTCTAATGTTTAAGATGTGGAAATTCAGAGAGAAGTAGCTTAATTTGAAGTAGAAAAATTCTGTTTTATTTACTGCAGGATCCAAATATCTTGCATTATATTCTACTTAATTCCAATCCTGCATTAAAACTAAAAATGGACATACATGGTTTTATTGTTTTCTCTCCCTACCTCCATTTTACCTAAGGGAAAGATATACTGAGATGTTTGTTTTAAAGTAATATATGCACATTACACCGCATGCGTGTGGCAATAAAGGTAAAGTCAAGTGAGTGCTCCACACGCTGGGAATGAAAGGTGGCACAGTGTATTGTTTGTTTTTGTTGTAGTATCAACTACAGGCTTTGGCCAGTCATCAAGAAAAATCTGTTACCTACAGAGCAAGTTTCACCTTCACAAATATTCCAATGGTCTACGTAAAAATAAAGTGAAGCTTCCCGAAAATTTCATGCTCTGGAGTACAATAAATTCCTCTTGTAACATTATGCTAGGTAGAATGAAACTAAAGAAAACAAATAGTTTTCTTGAGAAACATAACCCACAAGCTTTCAACTCAGAGTTTATCCGCTGTAAACTGTGTTGGTTAATGCCACAAAACATGAAAGAAGCAAAATTTCCCCTGAGCCCTGTGTTCAGTGAAATGAAAATGTTTCTGGTTATCTGTACCACACTGAGAGCCAAAAACTATTGAACCCTGCCAGAAGTCATGTTGATAATAATTTTAGCTAGCTTTTCCGTCTAATGACACTAAGAGAAGATAGAAGGAGACAGAATCCACCGCTCCTTTCATAAAACATCCTGAAAGGAGTGTTAAAAGAGCAATGCTTATTGTAAAATAGCAATTGAAGTGAATCCACTCTCCCCTGTGCATGCAGCTGTTCATTACACAATACTTTGGCTTCAGCAATGAATCTGGCTTCAGAAGGCCTGACCTCTTCCCTGTCCACGTAGTCTCACATTTCCGCCACAAATTTTTATCTTCTTGGTTGTGTCACTGCAACTGTTTGGGGGACTGCACTATGAGTCGGTCTACAAAAAGGATTTGGGTTGAAAACCAATGTCTTTTCCGTTTGCCCCAGCTAAACTTGTGGTAAAGCAAATACACCCCAAATACTTTTGCATAGCATATGCAAAATCATTATATCAGTCACCATGCACACAAAAAAATGTTGCCCATTTTCCCAACCAAGGCATGCCTGTGTGTGGACAATACCATAATCTCTGGTTTCTGCATTGCTAGAGAGATACAAGCCAGAAGAAATTCAGAGGTCAATGAAAGTGATCGGGGAATTACCTTAGGAAAAATATACTTAGTAGCAAAAAGTGGACTGGGATTCAGAAGACCAGGGTTTTATTTCTAGCTCTCTAATTTATCTTCAAGTCAAATATAAAGAAGGATTATTTAGGCAAGAAGAAGTGAAGATCATGATACTTGCACATAGATATTGAATCGTCTTGCAATAAAAATGAGCAAAAGACATGATAGTAAAAGCAACTATTTTTAGGTGGACACAAGGTAAAATTCAAAGATCAAGGTTGTGTCGTGCTGGAAGGAATAAAGTAAAGGTAGCTGAGGCTGAAGGTCACCTCCATTGTGCAACCAGGAACAAACAGCGATTATATGTTTTCAAATGTTTAATCTGTAAGCACCAAGGAACAGGGGTACAGTACAGCAATACCTGCAGCAACAACGGAGAGCTCAAGCCAGCTACAGGAGAGGACACCCTATTTAAGAGCTTCTCTGCTTTTTCCTTTACTTCGAAGTATCCCTCTCCTATCCAGCACCAATACAGAAAGTTATCTTAATAACTTATAAGATTAGCTAATAAGGAAACAGTAGATGCTTTGTCTATTTGTTCGCTTTCATTCAGAACAAAACAACTCTGTGTTGTATCTAAGTGATAACCAGATGTAAAGCGTGAAGGTTTCCATATCCACTGATCTGATAATTGTACATATACCATCCTTTCCCCTTCTCCGTCCCCCTTCCCCGCTACTCCCCCAGCAACATGCTGAAAAAGACAAGCCTAAAATCCTGCATCTGTTTCCTCCCACACCCACACAGTACGTACCCAAAATATAATTCTTTTCTCTGCTTCAAAAAATCCAAAATGACCTCTGTAAACAAACCCATAGAGAGAAGAGGACAGTAAATCCGTGGTGAAGGTAGCCATCAAGCAGCAGAAGAAGGTTTGCCAGGCCAGCCTGATGTCCCAGAACGAAGACACTTCTTCTAATGTGAACAAGAGCCCGCCGATGGGGGCACGAAACACTGAAGCTATCCCTGCTCCTGCGCCAGCCGTAATGAAACTGCGCCTGCAACAGGTAGAAGAGTCAAAATTCGGGTAATGGGGAAAAAACAGAAACAAAAACCCTCCATAAACACCATCAACAGCCAAAGCTGGGTTTATGAGGCTGAATTTAAAGACCTGCTGGTTTATTGTGGGGTTATTATAGTGCATCTCTAGGATTTGAGTTCAGATCTGTCCGTCTTGACCTCTGGCCTTGACAAAACCCTCAATCCTACAACATCGTGCGGGGACCACTGCGCCATGCCAGTGAGCTGCTGAACTAGCGCCAACCAGCCTAACGCCAGGCAGACGTGCCACTTCACACCCTGGAAGCAGTGCAGTCACAGGGGTGAAATACTGCAGGGAAAAAAGATAAGAAAGTTTGGGATTCACTAGAGAATGAGAGTACAGCCCTGGAGCCTGTAGGCTCAACATGCCGCCTCAGTCTGTAGATGTCTGAGAAATCCAAGGGGAACATACATGCCTTGTCTCCCTCCCTGTAAAGGTGTGGAGCTCACATACACCCTGAAAAGCAACAAACTTCTGTTGCTGTAAGCTTCACTAGGAGCTCAAATGGCACAGATCTGCACTGTGAGCCAGTTCCAGTAAAGAGGGAAAAAAAAAAAGAGAAGAAAAGAGAAGAAAAAAAAAGAAAAAAGAAAAAAAGAGAAGAAAAGAGAAGAAGAAAAGAAAAAAGAAAAGAAAAGGAGAAAAAAGAAGAAAGAAAAAGAAGAAAGAAAAAGAAGAAAGAAAAAGAAGAAAGAAAAAGAAGAAAGAAAAAGAAGAAAGAAAAAGAAGAAAGAAAAAGAAGAAAGAAAAAGAAGAAAGAAAAAGAAGAAAGAAAAAGAAGAAAGAAAAAAAGAAGAATACTTATAGTGTTGTAAAGAAAGGCATTAATGGACAGTCTTCCTTTATACATTTATTATTATTTATTTTCCTACACACAACATAATTTTCTTTCCAAAGCACCCATTTCATTATATGAAAACAACATCCTGCATCAGACAAATGTTACATTTTTACAGAAGGCCACAATATGCAAAACAGAGGGAAGTATATAGAAAGAGGAAATAAAATTATGCTTGAATTCTGCCTTGGAAAATTCGATTCAAGTCCAGCCTTTGTGGGGGATACTGGGGTGATGCTGACACATATAATGCACTAATCACTAGTGCTCACCAGCTTATAAAACTTGCATCCTCTGGATGTGCTACCTGAGACCTCAGGGATAATTTGCAGAAATGCTGAGCATTCCGTACTAGCTGAAGTCAACAAGTATACAAAACACTTGAGTATTTTTAATATTAAGAAATGCCAAGTTCTCAGCAAAAATAACCCAACAGATCAGAGTAATCTCCAAACATTAGGGGGCCCTTTTGACTTCTCTGTGGTGTCCACAAATTTTATCAGTACAAAGATGGGTGGCAGTGAGGATGATGGACAGAAAATAAGGGAAAAGATTAGAAAGTTCATGTGTCAAAGACCTTAACAAAGCCCACCAGTAAAGCTACACAGGCAACTTCATGTCTGATATTTCCCAACTCACAAATGCTGAGTTAGACAATCTTGTGCATGGATTTTTACTTACACGTTGTATCTTCACAGCGACATTGTTTCCACCAGCAGGGAACTCAAAAGGTACTGCACGCCGCAGTAAAAGCTGGGCGAGCTTTGCTTGGACGTCTCCAACTTCTTGCTCTAGTCAGTTGTACGTGCTACGTGTCCCACCAGTAGTATCAACAATGATATTATAACACATCCGTTACAGCTGCCCGATGGAGGGATGTCTTAAGATCCTTCAACGTCCTAATGCTTGCTGAGTTACTGCTCTACCTGTGACTGTACTTGGAGAGGGTACATCTCTTGAGCCTACTTAATAACTCCAAAAGATACCAGGGAGTGGGAGTCTTTCATCCTGGTCTTTGTAAAGAAGCAAGGTCTCGCTTAAACTGAAACTTGTCTCTGCTGCTCACCAACAACCCTCTCTGTGAAGGGGACTTCTACACAACCTGTCTCTCCCAGGATGGTTCCTGACTGCAAGCTAATGCTTTTTTCTAATTATACTATAACTGGATCCTGCAGAGAAAAACAAAAGTGCTCGCTGCTTCTCTTACTGCAATTGCCGATTTCTTCCATGACTAACACTTTGTTTAACTAGCATGTCTCAGATTTACTTAAATGACTGATCTTAAAAGCCTAAAGGCAAAGGAGATCCTGTATCTTCCCTTTGGTGCTGTTTGATTGTCTTTTAAGCTACAGATAGTTCACAGTGGCTGTTCATTTGAATTCTTTGTATTTCTTTAGGAAATTAACACATGGGAGTCCTTCTTTTTTTCCTTGCTTTAGAAAAAAAAACCCAGTATTGTATGGGGTTTTGTATGTCAACATGACAATAAATACCACCCAGAAGACATAAACTGGTTTATAATTTCTTTTTCTGGAAACTAATCTCATTAATTTCAGTAGAACTGTTCACAAGAGAGAGCTTACCAGAGTTATCTCACAGACACGTATGAGCAGCGAAGAGACAGATTAAAAAAGTGTCACAATTTACTTTTTCAAAACTAGACAAATAAAGCAAGGGCCCCCTGTACACATTGTGCAATCCCCATCATCCCTTTTTTCCTGGGCCAGCATCGTTAATTTGAGGATAAAGCCTGTGTCTAAAAATCCTGCATTTTTCTCCCTCATACAACCCAGAAGGCAATGGGAAAAAGCCTTCAGTATTAATGTAGTATTTCACAAGCGTTCAGTAAAACAACTTGTGAACTTTCTTTTAATTAAAGAACTTTAAAGTTGTTTAATTAAACAACTTTCTTTTAATTAGAGTGGGTGGCTTTTTCCCCATTCCAAATTGACAAGCAGCAGGAAGGCTGAAAGATTGCTGGAGCAGCATCTCCATTTCCCTTCCAGATGCAACGGGCTCGCCAGAGACTCACTGGACACCCCCGGGGTGCTGAGGGCGGGCGGCGGGGTGGTCCCCCGAGAGCCTCACAGCTCTGCCCATCACTTACTTATCAGCTGAATTGCGAAACCTGGTGAAGATCGGGAGGTGGACGCCAAGGGTGTCCGACTGCAGCTGGCTCAGGCCACAACCCAGGAGAGCGCTAAAAGTGATGTATAATTGAGAGCACTCTTTTGGTAAATTATTCGTAAATCAGCCACGGTTTAAAGGCAGGGGAGGACAGAGCCTTAGCCAGCGCGCAGCAGCAAAGCTAGATGGGTTTCAACAGATTTAAACATGGAAAATGTTGAACACGTCTTTTAAATATGCAAAGTCCCGTTGACATAAAGCAGGAGACTATTAAAGACTTTCAGATTCTTGACTCAGAGACTTAAGTGTCTCTTTTGCAAGGAGCGTTGTGATGATAGACCATGAAACGCCTTTTGAAGAACTGCATGTTAATGTCTGCCCAAGTGTGGTGACACATCAGTCTATAGCCCATCGTTTCAATCATCTGTTCCCAGGTTAATGACCATGGCAGTCAGAACAGCCCTACTACTAACAGAAGATGTGTAATGATTTAAATTATTACAGTGTGTTCCCAGGCAACACTTCAAACTACATTTAAAAGGGAAAAAAACCCAATCCAAACCCTTAGTGAAATGAAAAGTCTATTCATTGTGTAATCTTGGAAGACCTTTCTACAAGACTTAAATTAGGAGCCTTAACGAATCTCTCAGAGGTTTTTAGCAACTTACGTGTGTTTATGTTTAATAAAAATGGTGGATGGTTCCAGCTAAATTAAATAAAACTAGCTCTTAATTCCTATGTTTTGAAAAGGTATCACGTTAATACCGTGCTGACTTTCTTCATGGAAATATGATTCAATTCTTTGGCTCGTGCATCACTGTTACCAACCCAGCACAAAGGAAAAAAAAAATCACAGCTGCAGTCTCTGAGCTCCTGGAGACAAATGTCTGAAAGCAAAGAAAACAAAAGAAACCTAAAGGGAGAGCTAAACCTTGGTAATCATTGTCTGGAAGGTTTGTGGCTGCCTCTGACTAACCATGCGCTCCTATTTTTGAACAGCTGAGTCATCCCCTAGGGTGCTGCACCTCCATGCAAATAAATAAATAAAGATAAATCCATGGAGTAACAGAAAATGTGAAAGGGTGGTGGGGAGGAGGACAGGTTTGGTCAGGGCGGTGAAGAGGAAGAGAACAAACCTCAAGGGTGAATACTTTCCAAAACCAAAATGATCAGAAATAGAACAGCAAACCAGCCAACAAATTATCTATATCGTATTAGCAGAGACCAATTTTACCATCTCTACTCAAGATACGGTTTAATAATGGTAATAAAGTGCAGCAGGATTCTCCTCTAAGCGGTGAATAAAGGAAATGATGTCACTTACCAAAACAGCAAAGCCCAAAATCTGGCCTGCAGTTACTAAGTTTGGCTGTATTGCAACATAGTAAATTTTAAGAACCACTCTGACTTACAGAGCAGGACTGGGCAACCCTCCTCTCCCCTTCTCACCAGGCCCCGGACCAAAATAGGGTGATGGGGATTCTCTTTCTTTGTATATAGCAAGGGGGGATAAAAACATTATCCTTCAAAAAGACTATAAAGCCTACTTTTCCCTACCTGGAAACATAGTATTACACTACTGCATGAACAACAAGCAGCTCCAACCTGACTTGCAATCTGCCATCTGCAGAGCTTGCAAAGCAGCGCCTGGTTTCTGTGGTCGCCCTTAGCTGGCATCGGCAGCTGCCGTGTTTGTAAGCTGGAAACATGGACCCCAAGGGCCTGGCTGTCCATCATTGTGCGCCTTGCACAGCCACTTACAGCACTTCTGCAGGTGGCTGCAAAATTGTTGCCCCTTTTGTGCGCAGCCACTTGAGACTGGCTTTATTTTTATACAGACTTTGCATAGGTAAAAGCGGTTATGCGAGATGCAAAGCAGCCGGCAGGCCATAGCTGCGGGACAAGTTGCTTTTGAGAAACGAAACTGACTGCAATTGTCCAGATAACTGCTTGCTGAGCCTCAAGGGGAATCGTACTAGGGAACCAAGCCAGTATTTAAAACACGCAGTGAAAAAATGTTTTTCTTCACTGCATGGCATGAATAGTTGTGCTAATGCAAAGGAGGGGAAGAGCACAGGTGAAAAGAGCTCTCAATGCAGGGTATTTTTTAAGCCAGCGCTGCCACCAAGACAGACATTGCAAACCCATACCCTCAGCCTGATAGCTTTAACTTTTGTCTGCTATTTCTTACCCCAAATGGATCATGGGACCTTCTGGCCCACAGAAGAGCCCGGAGGCTACAGCCAGCACGCATGAGACGAATGTCCCTAAAAAGGTCTTGATGTTAAAAAGATGTTGAATAGAAGTGCCATTCAAATACCCAATGATTTCTGGCAAGCCAGATGGTGAACCTGCTGGGCAAAAGAACTGCAAAGGAGGAAAAAAAAAAAAAAAGAGAAACAGAGTCAACAATCATTACATGTTGATGTGTTAGGTGCGTCTATGGACACGTTTTTAAAGTCCAGCCCTCATCTTGCTCTGTTCATGAACAATCTTTCCCAGAATTAACAGGCGATGTAGATATGCATATAACTACTGGCTATGCACAAAAATTCAAGCTCCCAACAGTGTTGCTATATGTGTACTGGGGGTAATGAGAGAAGAAAACAACTGATGAGGGCCCCTGCCATCCCCCCCGATACCCAAAGTCAACCAGCCTCTTGTCTTTGCACAGACTGTCTGCGAGGCAGGGTGTACGTGTGAACCTGCGTGATTTGTCCAGTCAGTTCAGACTTTAGATAGCTTAAAACTGGTCAGTTATTACCTGTATAACAGCAAGCTCCCTTTTCCTACTGTTGCTGGATTTCAGGGTAAGTTCAGTAAAACATTCACTTTTTCTCTCACCTATGCTGTTAATTGCCTGTCTATAATCAAATTGAACACAGCGGGACAGTAAATGACAGAAAGGCTCAATGTTTTAGCCTTGCTGCCTCGTAAAAGTACTGATCTGGGCTTTTAGCACAGCTAAAAGATCAATCTAAAACCAACAGTAACTTTTATATGGACTGATGGTCTTTGGCTTAGGCCCCTTCCAAACACCGAGTTTTCATAAGTTACACCAGCTGCCACTTGTATTTATTTTATAAACACCACATGCTAAGTGTAAATTGCATCGCCACCACCACTGATTTCACCCCAGACACTTTTATACAAGTTATGGGCGGTGGAATCCAGCTTTAGGCTGAAGGCCAAGAAAGACCGCTCCAATTGGGTTGTATGATAGAGGGGTTTTTTAAATAAAATACTGAATTAACCAGTATTTGGAAGAGCAAGAGATTTGGTTTATCACAGCGGTATGGGCTTATTGCGTAGGAGACGTAACACTTACCAGCACTGAGCCTGAAGAGAGAACCACCATGGCCAGTCCAGACCCAAGTGCACACAGCCAGGTCATGTGGATGTTGCCATCCTGTCCGGTTGACAAACAGATTACTACATCGGCACCCACAGACCAGGTCCCGCTTTTCAATGATCTTCTGTCCCACAGATTTCTGCAGGCAGAAGGTGTACCATAGGGAAAACCCAAAACAAGCAGTGCAGGCTCTTCAGAAGGACAGGAGTGAGTAATGGTAAGGTGAATGATGACTTTCAGAGTCATGTTTTTTTTCTACGACTTCTCGCCCATCTCTAAAAACACTATAAAGCATATGTTGTTACTCATCAAGGCTCTTTTCAGGTCACAAGCAGAGTTAAAGGACCTTAAGAACATGCACAAGAACACACTAAATGCTGTCTTCAGGAGACATTTTGCCTGAATGGAGGCTTCAAAGTCTTACATCAGTAATTACTTTTATGAATTTGCAGCTATTATTAGTAGACAGAATATACGTGAGGAAGCTCTCTCCTGCTTTATTTTAACCAAAAGGACATCTCTCATACTAGGCCTTCTCACATTTAAAAAACACGTTTCAGTCTCCCTGGGTTTTCGGTTTGTTTGTTCGTGCTTGGGCTGACCGCAGCTGTGCTCTCTCCAGAATTCCTCAGCTCCCACATACTTTGCCGCCTTCCACAGCGCTCAGCTGTGATTTGTCATGTGTGTAGGTCAAACACATCCCTTGCATTTCTGAGGTCACAGTGTTACAGCCAGCCACCGCAGCCTTCCCGGCAGCATGTCCCACCAAGGCTTTTGTAAGCGCATCGTGCTGCACAGCCAAACAGCAAAGCAAAATGCACGAAAATGAGTTTTGCTCATCCGCAGCTGAAGGAGGTGTTTAGATGAGAAGGTCTTCCAGAGCAGGAATTACATGTTTGTACTGATGTCAGAGCCTGTGAGAGCTTACCTCCTGCCCTTCTGTATTAGTTTAATACAATAGGACAAATTTTATAATACAACATGACCCACAGTGTGTGTAACGGTTGTTGTGATGCCCTGGAGTCAACCTGTGGTTTCTTTCTATATATTCTTTATTTATACTTTAGTGTGTATATATACACACATGCATGTATATACATACAAATGCATATATACATATATGCATGTGTACTCATCCACTGTTTATATATTTTATAAACATACGCATAGTTTGTATATAAGAAACCCCAGGGAAATAATATTCCAAGAGCATGATATATGCTTTCCTCCTGGAAAGCATAAACTTGTTCATTTCTTGGATATTCCTTCTGATATATTCAGCCTCCATCTGTTCCACAGACCAAGTCTTCCCTTGCATTTCTGTGAAGTAATTGAGATCTGTCCTTCAGCAGTTGGCAGCATTATTCCATTATCTTGATTTCACAGAATAGTGGAGGACACATCCATGTCTCCCTTGTACTGGAGAGCCCAGAACTGGACACAGTACTCCAGATGTGGCCTAGCCAGTGCTGAATAGAGAGTAAGGATCACCTCCCTCGACCCGCTGGCAACACTCCTCCTAATGCAGTCTAGGAGGCTGTTGGCTGAATGGCAACGCAATCACCTGGTCTATCAAGCACTGCTTCCTTCCAGTTTTGCTTTTGTCTGCAAGTTTGCTGAGGGTGCACTCTGCCCCATCATCCGGGTCATTAGGGAAGATATCCAACAGTGTTTGGCCCCAGTATTGACCCCTGGGGTACACCCGTGGTGACCAGCTTCTGGCTGGACTTTGTGCTACTGATCATAGTGCCTTGAGCCCAGCAGTTCTGCCAGTTTTAAATCCATCTCACTGTCCACTTATCTAACCCATACACCACCAGTTTGTCTATGAGGATGTTATGGGAGACAGCGATGAAAGCCTTGCTAAAGTCAAGATAAACAACATCCACTGCTCCAGTCATCTCATTCTAGAAGGTTGTTATCCGCTGTAAATCCATGCTGACTATGCCCAATCACCTTCTTGTCCTTCATATGGTCAGAAATGGTTTCCAGGATTATTTGCTGTATCACCTTCCCGGGGGTCAAGATGAGGTTGACTGGCCTGTAGTTCCCTGGATCCTTCTTCTTGTCCTTCTTGAACACAGGAGTGACACTGGCTTCCTCCAGTCCTCAGGAACCTCTCCTCAATTGCCATGACCTTTCAAAGGTAATTGAGAGTGGCTTCACAATGACATCAGCCAGGTCCCTCAGAGAAGGCATCGAGTACCTTGGCCTCTTCCAAGTCCTTTGTCACCAAGTCACCTACCCAGTTCAACAAGCCCATGTTTTTCCTAGTCTTCCTTTTGTTGCTGATGTACCTGTAGAAACCTCCTTCCTTTCTTGTTGCCCTTCAACATCCCTTATCAGATTCAACTCCAGGTGCACTTTGGCTTTCCTAACCCCATCCCTGCACACTCAGTGTCTCTGTATTCCTCCTGGGTCACCTGTCACTGCTTCCACCTCTTGTGTGCTTCCTGTTTATGTTTGAGTTTTGTGAGGAGCTTCCTGCCACCTTTTGCTTGATATCCTGCTGTGCTGGTTTTGGCTGGGGTAGAGTTAATTTTCTTCATAGAAGCTAGTATGGGGCCATGTTTCGGATTTGTGATAAAAACAGTGTTGATAACACAGGGATGTTTTAGTTACTGCTGAGCAGCGCCTACACAGAGCCAAGGCCTTTTCTGCTCCTCACCCCACCCCACCAGCGAGTAGGCTGGGGGTGCACAAGAAGTTGGGAGGGGACATGGCAGGGACAGCTGACCCCAACTGACCAAAGGGATATTCCATACCATATGACGTCATGCTCAGCATATAAAGCTGGGGGAA